GCATTCTGGAAACATTCACAAAACAAGTCCAAGCCGTCACAGCTGGGACTTCTCATTGTGGAGAATCAGGGCTGTACACAAAGGCTATCTCAGGTATCCTAACAACGGACTTTGTCGAGACACGTGAAGACAGCGATTTCGCAACCGAGAAAACCAATTTCAGCCGCTCGTTCTCTGGATCAAATTTTTTTCAGTCATGTCTCACTACTCGTGACCGTAGGCTAGTATTTAATATATTTGTGTATTTACTATATTATTAAGACTTTGCTATATTCTGCCGTCTTTGCACCTCTGACTGGTGATGACGCCAATTTACGCTTGTAGCAAAACGTTTGCTCAAGTTGAAGAGCTTGACAGATTAAAACCAATTCCCCTTTACCGATTTACTGTTTGAGTCGAATTAAAATCTTACTTATTGTTCACGAATGCATTTCTTCATTGAATAAATGTGGCACACGCAGAGTACATACTACAGTAATTTTCTTGGAGCAGCTGACGAGACTGGTGAAGAGCAATCATATCCCCGGAGAGCAATAACGATCAAAGACAAGAAGAAGTTTCGAATATCTTTGATAGAGAGCTGGTTTAACCTGTACGAGCAAATATATGACATCTCCTCAGGTCAGAACGGTGGTTCTAGACTGGTTGAACGAGAAATTCTGAAGACGAAACACGTCATATGCGTGTACTCTGACGATGTCGCGGGCTATCTGTGGCAAAACGCTTTAGTGAACAACGATGCATCGTTGCTGTTTTGAATTTTATTACTCGTTGACTCAGGTGATGAAGCAGCAAGCCGAAGATTTGTTCAATTTCTAGCCTAGAGTCATGAACAGATATCTGCCATTTGTGTATCTTTACGTGCAATTTGTACATATGAATTTCAGTGGATGAAATTGATATTCAATTACCTTGACTATCTGGCATTCTCGCTGTGGCAGTGACCTTAAAATGGCTTTCCAATGGTTCCCTTCCTCCATCAAACTGGTAAGCTCCACAGGCTAAATACTTTGGAGTCACAATACCAGGAACTAATGTGGGTGTGGGGCTTTGGCAAAATTGGTTAATAGGTTTCTGGGTTCGAACGCAGCGCAGAGGTGGACAGGGGAGAGGGTAATTTTTTTTTAGTAACCGCTAATTCTCTTCAGCAAGGAATTCACCTCACCATGCCTCCGTTCAACTAATCGAAAGCGGGTTCAACTAATTATTGAGCTGCAAATAATAGGGATAATATGGTTGTTTGGCGTGGTCATGCCAATACTAGCGATGTATGCGTCATGCTGTGTGATGCGTGAGCTTTACGCCTGCAATTCTCCCTGACCTACGTGACTAAAAATCGGCATGTTGCGCTAAAGCAATTATACAAAGCTTTTCATATATTTTACGGTCTGCCGATGGGTCGTCGCTTTAATCTAAAAGCCGGAATCATTTCGTCAATTATTGACTATATTAATCATAATCAACATTTATTAACCAATTCGTTGTCAATTCATGTTATGGCCAGAACGTATGGTAGAATAAGTGGTCACTTTGTGATAGAACGAATATATGTATGTTTATTTCAGTTTCGAAAAGACCTTATCTGGGTCCGCCACAATTCATGATATTTCTTCTTGTAACCAGGGTGCTACCGCGTTTCTACATGCTAGATTTATACTGTTTTGTTATGGCGTTGAGTGGCAGAGATATTAGCGATCCAATCCAGAAGAAATGCTAACCAAACAATCGAAATATTCCGTTCGACTTTGCAACAGGTTCCGATGCCTCTTAACATAATACGTGAGCAAATAACCTGTATAAAACTAGCGATAAATCAGTCAAGACATTACCGCAAGGCTCTTCATAAAGATTTAAACAATGATAATGAATAATAACAGTGATTGCATGTGGTAATTTATTGTGTATCTACCAGTTGCCGAAACAAAATAAAAAACTCTAAACCGATATTTTTCTCTGTCAATGCTGGACTTCGTCATCTCTAGCTGAAGCAGATGATGATATGCACAATGTATTTTCAGATTAAATCTTGAGATATCGAACAGAAACTGATGAGATGAGTGGATTTCGATGAAGTGCTATGCCTGATTGAGTATGCCTGATAAAATTATGCGGCAATTGGGCTTCACAACGTGAAATTTCTCGATGCTTTACTATTGCCAACCTGCATCATTTCTTGATTTTTGAGAAATCAGTGGTCAGGCGAAAACACAACGTAGTGCTTGAAAGAGCTAGGTAAAGGCAATGAGGCATTAACGACGAAATCGGGGGACTAAGCATGGATAAAAGAATCATTTTCTTCTCAGCCATCTTCTTCAGATTCGTGCGATTCCTTCCTCATACGTTTCAAGAATTACATTCATGGCATTGCATGTCATACTATGAATGAATTTCCATAAATGGCAGAGAAAATTAAACATTGTTGTTTTATGCAGGAGATTAATTGCATGAACTACATGTTTCCCACGGCATCGCACTGCACATTGCCGGCGGTCAGACAATTGCGCAATTGCCGTCTACGATAATTCATTCATAATATGTACATGCAATGCGATTCCTTCGTCATAAGTTTCAAGAGTGAGATTCATTGCGATAACATCCTTACATTAAGTTGTTTCCTCAGCTTTGATAAGAAATTATGAATCATAACATGAAATTTCCAAATAAATGATGACAGATAGACACCTTAATACATTTTCATGCCACGAACGTCAAAAACTTACTTTCATAGTGCTGGATGCAACGTTTTGACCACTAAATTCCAAGTCTAATATTTCGAAAGAATGGTTTTTGCGGCGACCGTTGTCGTCGAATTTAATATGGCCTGTAATTCCGTCCATGCTAACCTAAACAATTCAGAGCAAGGGTTATTCATGCAAAACCGTACATGCAAATTTCCTGTCCCTCAACATCAACATATTGTAATGCACAAAATTGATATTATCTTAACTGCATGCATAAATCGTTCATAATTTTACCTCGACTTGAACGTCTTTCTTTAAACAGTCTTGCTTTACTCAATGTTAAAATCAACTGCTAAATTTTTTGAGCCTGCCCTGCCATGCCCACTGATGTCATGAGTCAACATGCCCTTACATACAGTGCCCTTCAGTGCAAAATAAGTCAGTAGTAGGTGGTACCGTGGTCTCCTGACTAAGTTTCGAAATTTCACGGGGTTCGATTGGTTTCGCCTAATCATCAGTTTAAAGTTTTAGTCCACCCTAACATACGATCATAGCTACCTCTGAAACTGCCTGAATTGGTCAGGATTAATCTGCTGCCGTCAGCCTCACGAGAGAACAGCTTTCAC